TTTTCCATACGAAATTGTCTCTATTTCCCTCCATTTGGCGATTTAGAGGAAGATGTGCGACGAAAACAAAAGAATTCTAGGTGCTGGTCGACTTACTGGGAGTTGAATTGACTGTAGAATTGACGACCGCGAATTCTGTACGTCGCGCAATCACCCTTAGTCGAAATTCGCGTCTGATCTCGGCTGTTGAGGAGAAACCCGATCCGACGCCCCAAATTCCAACGTTTTGGGCGAAATTCTCTGGGCCGTTGAGATTCAAATCGACCTGACAGTCGAATTTCCAACTTTTTTGCCAATAATTCTGAAGGGTGTTCGAAAACCGGAACGAGGGGGACTTAGAAAAATTGCGCGGAACTGGTTTTACATTCCCGTATCGGCGCTTTCGTCGTGTTTTAAAGTTAAAGGCCGGTTTTAAGCGGTTGAAGACCTCGCGTGTAAACCTGCTCTGATTACCAGGTGTGAGGATCTGGTTAAGGAAAGAGGAAGCTATTCAATGAACCATCTGGGTACAGGGCGAGGAAAAATATAGGCTCGACACAAAGGCAGTAACCCGGGTGTTACTTGAAGGTTCTGTGGGTCGCAAACCGTCCCGAACGGGTCCTTCCCGAATTCGGTAGAAGGCATCCTGCCGTCCCCGACCCTCCGTCAGACCTTGCTCGTGCTGCTAGTCCTACTGCCACTCGTCTTCTAGCCGCTGTTGTCACTGACCCTTCGTTTGAGTCCACTGCTGCGTCTGCCCTTGTTGCTGAGCTTGTTGACTTTGCTGCTGCCTGTCGCCTCGACTACGCCGCTAGTCTTGTTGCTGAGTCTGAGTCTGTCTGTCCTCCGTCCGTCGGGGGTGAGTGTGCTCTTGGCACGCACGTCCTTGAGGACAGGCAGGAAGGACTTTGAGTGTTTTGCAGCTGCTGTACCTCATCTCCTGTCCATGCTGATTGCACCTGAGAGAGACCCGGATGCACCAGACATCCCGACCCCGCGCTCTTACGCAGAGGCGATTAAGGGTCCCTACTCCTCTCAGTGGCAGTCAGCCATGGACGCAGAGATGGCATCCTGGAAGTCCACAGGCATTTACGTCGACGAGGTTCCCCCACCTGGGGCGAACATCGTCAGTGGCATGTGGATTTTGAGGGTGAAGCGGCCGCCGGGTTCTCCGCCTGTTTTCAAGGCGCGTTACGTTGCACGAGGCTTCAGTCAGCGACAGGGAGTTGACTTCTTCGAGACCTTCTCCCCTACCCCGAGATGACCACTCTTCGGGTTCTGCTGCACGTCGCCGCTCAGCGTGACTACGAGCTTCACTCTCTTGACTTCAGCACAGCTTTCTTACAGGGCAGCCTGCACGAGGAGATCTGGCTGTGCCGCCCACACAGCTTCACTTGGTCGTTTCCTGCAGGTACCCAGTGGAGCCTCCGGCGGCCAGTCAACGGTCTCCGCCAGGCACGAAACACTCAGGACGACGCTTGCGGCTCTTGGGTTTGCTCCTTCGACTGCTGACCCGTCGCTGTTTCTACGCACCGACACTACGCTGCCGCCGTTCTACATCCTCGTGTACGTCGACGACTTGGTCTTTGCCACTGCTGACATTGAGGGACTGGCCCACGTGAAGTCAGAGCTGCAGAAGAGACACACGTGCACAGACCTGGGTGAGCTGCGCAGCTATCATGGCTTGCAGATCACCCAGGACAGAGCACGGAGCACCATTACCTTGACTGAGTCACACATGGTGCAGCAGGTCCTTCAGCGCTTCCGCTTCACGTACTCCTCGCCACAGTCCACTCCTCTGCCTACCGGTCACTCGCTCTCAGCACTGCCTTCGGATGAGTCTGTAGAGCCGAGTGGCCCGTATCCGGAGCTTGTGGGCTGCCTCATGTACCTGATGACCTGCACTCGACCTGACCTTGCCTACCCTCTTAGCATCCTGGCGCGCTACGTTGCGCCCGAGAGATACCGACCAGAGCACTGGGAGGCCGCTAAGCGGGTGTTGCGCTACTTGTGCAGTACGTCGGGCATGGGGCTCGTGCTTGGAGGACGGGCTCGAGTTGTCCTCACTGGACACGCAGACGCTTCTTGGGTTGACGACTTGGCTACGCAGCGGTCGTCACAGGGTTACACCTTCAGCCTTGGTTCCGGCTCTGTTTCTTGGCGGTCTACCCGCTCGTCTTCTGTTCTCAGCTCCAGTTGTGAGGCTGAGATCTACGCAGGGGCCATGGCTGCACAGGAGTTACGCTGGCTCACCTACCTGCTGACTAACTTGGGCGAGCCGCCTCGTTCTCCTCCAGTTCTGTACGTCGACAACAAGGCCACGATTGCCTTGTGTCAGGAGCACGGACTGGAGCATAGGACGAAGCACATCGCTCTGCGTTACTTCCTTGCTCGAGAGTTGCAGCAGCGTGGACAGCTTCGTCTTTCTTACGTGGCCTCTCGGGCCAACACTGCTGATATCTTCACCAAGGCACTTCAACCTTGTGATCATCAGCATTTCTGTACTGTTCTAGGCCTTGTGCCTACTTGGCCTCACTTGCTCACTTCTTGACTTTGTTTGTACTGTGATCTATATGCTTATACCTGCATGCTTACACTTGCTAGGTTTTGATCACTGTACTACTTGTTATGCTTTATATAACTCTGCATGTGAACTGGTTTTGTGGCCATTAGCTTGTGCTCAGAGTGTGTGGTGACTTCGTGATCCACCCTGAGTTTGCTTTGCTTTTCTTGATTGGTCTTGTGACCTCTTGTTCTCCCCCACTTTGCCTATGGGGGTGTGTCAAACTTATATGCTGCATGTTGTGTAGGCTGTAGTGGGGCCATATGGGGTACAACCCAATTAGGGTTTGCTACTTATACTCCCTCATGCTGCTAGTTCATTCATTCTCGTTCATTTTGCTGAGACTTCGGACGAGTCCGTAGAGCCGAGTGGCCCGTATCCAGAGCTGGTGGGTTGCCTAATGTACCTGATGACGTGCACACGACCTGACCTCGCGTACCCTCTCCGCATCCTTGCTCGCTTCATCGCCCCCGGGAGACACAGGAAGGAGCACTGGACAGCTGCGCAGAGGGTACTGCGTTACTTGTGCAGTACATCGGGCATGGGGCTCGTGCTTGGAGGACGGGGTCCAATGGTACTCATACAGATGTCGTGAGCGCGGCATCGACACCGCGTGGATCATCAACGCGGACCGGACGCCGCTCTGGCTGGAGATGCCCGCCACCACCACCGTCGAGGAAACGGGTGTTCGCTCGGTGCCTATCAGGAGCGCGGGGTATCAGAAGCAGCGAGTGACCGTGATGTTGGCGTGCACGGCGGACGGATTGAAGCTCAAGCCGTGGGTGTTCTTCAAGCGCAAGACCTTGCCGAAGGGCGATTTCCCGGCCGGTAAGTCAAGAGGTGCACTGCTCGTTAACTGCGTTGTGTTTTGAGTTCGAATTCTAACCACCCGTACGTGTTTCGTGCAGATGTGGTCGTGGCTTGCCACGAGAACGGGTGGATGGTCTCCGCGGGCGTCATTCGCTGGCTTGAGGAGGGCGTCAAGCCTTTCTTGAAGCCTAAGTTCGGCAGACAAGCCAAGAGCTCGATGCTAGTGCTGGATTCTTACCGCGGTCACCTCACCGAGGGGGTGAAGGAGAAGCTCCGCGAGATGAACTGCGTGCCGGCAATCATCCCGTCGGGCTGTACGGCGGAGGTACAGCCGCTAGATGTCTCCATCAACAAGAGCTTTAAGGCGTCGGTCCGCCAGCAGTACCAGAGGTGGTTTGAGGCAGAGGGGCAAGAGCAGCTGACGGCAGCAGGTATGGCATGAGTACGGTATTGTTTTAGCCCCCCCCCCCCCCCCCCCCGAAGTCTTTGTTGTTGCACTAACGGCTTTCCACCGTTCTCATGTAATGTTTCAGGGAACCTGAAGAAGCCTCCACCTGAGGTCGTCCTGAGGTGGATTTCACAGGCCTGGAAGGCAGTGCCGGCCGACCTCATCAAGCGTGCCTTCCTCACCTGTGGCATCAGCAACCAGCTTGACGGCAGTGAGGACGGACTCGCCATGGCGCACAGGCGGAGCCAGCTGACAGCGGAAGTGGATGTCGACGACGACATCATTGTTGATGGATTTTTTGGCAACAACTGCCAGGAGCCCGAATCAGACGAGGAGGAGTAGGAGGGGTACTGGATGATCTTCATTTGGTAGAAGTACCCGGCTAAACTTGTTAGGCGATCTAGCGTATAATGATGTTGTAGTGGCCATGAAGAAGTGACATTTTAGTGAATTCTTTGTAATGATTCTAGTAAAAATTTAAGGGTGGCGCTTATAATAAGAACAGAAATCACAGGGGGTGCGCTTATAATCGAGTTCCGGCCATAGGCGTCATGCTCCAGATAAAGGCGCCGGCGCCTATAATCGGACGGCGCCTATATCCGGGGTCATACGGTACCTACAGACATGCTCTTGCTAGATTGTGATCACTGATCAATGTACTGCTTGTGCTTTTATAACTCTCCATGTGAACTGGCCTTGTGCCCGCTTGCTTGTGCTCAGACTGCGTGGTGATCTTGAGATCCACCCTGAGTTTTGCTTTGCTTTGTTCTCTTGCTTGACTGGTCTTGTGACCGTCCGTTGTGTTTGCTATCCCCCACTTTGCCTATGGGGTTGTGTCAAATTGCATTTGTTATCTCTTGGCTGTAGTGGGGCATACTCTAAGGAGTACACCACCTTAGGTCTTTCCTAGTACTTGTACTCACTCTTCCCTACTAGTCAATCATTCCTACGTTCTATTTCCGGCATTTAACACTGATCGTCATCTTGAAATAACCAGAGGTGGGCGTACAGCATGTCTGAAATCAGGTT